GGCAGGCGCAGCGGAAGGGGGGTACGTGTGAGGGTGCAAGGCGGGCTGCGGTGCAGCCGCCCCCCATCCTCGTGTCTCATGACGCATGACGCCGCAGCTGTGCGTCGCTCCAGCTGCGGCTCACATAATCTGCAGGCTGCCGCCCAGTGGTTGGCTCTGCCGCTCACAGCGCTGCTGCGGCTGCCGCTCTACACACAGCCCTCACCAATTCTGCTGGTCGCAATCGCGCGCGCCGTGCGCCGCCCACCTCAACTTATGCAATAACTCACAAGGGCCAAAGCCCCAGAAAAATGTTGCCACTTTCTGCTTTTGGCCTGGGTTGTGGGGGCAGTGCATGGCGCAATGGTCCTTATGAGTCGACGCCGAAGGTGTCACATGCCCTGTCTGCGTGCCACAGGCGCACAATTCGCAGCAACACCCACAAGAGCGCGGGCCCTGAGGTGGCCCACATGTCCAGCACCACACATAGCGTTGCTGTGTGCCAGGCGAGGTCCGCACGTGCTGCTGTTGCGCGCCACAAGCGCGCCGGTTGTTGACGCAGGAATGGCGCGCCAACAACGCACATGCCAAGTGCTGCAACAGCTCTGCTTCCCAAAGCGCCTCACTGGAGTTGTAAAAAGAGCTTCTCAACGTCCGCCATACCTGATCAGCGATCAACGTGGTGAGCAGCCGCGCCGGCAAGTCCGTTGTTGCTGGATTGTGCCACTCGCCATGCTTCCTAGATTAGCGGCCAACGAAATCCAGCAGCAACGCTGTATGCAGGCAGCCATGAGCCGTTGATCGCGTGGAGGACGCCCAGATTGTTGGATCAACAACATCTGTTGTTGCTGTAGATCAGCAGAGCGTTGGCGAGTATTCAATGCGCATAGCGTATCAACAACATGTGCATTGTTTGTATAGAACAGAGCGCCCAACATGCAGAGCCTCATTATCATAAGCAGCAGCTGGTGGGGCAGGCCCACTTGACACTGCAGCACCTGGGCAGCAGGCTTTTCGGGTGTTGCTGCTGTGATATGAGCACGATATGCGCAGTATAATGTAGGCTATTATAACCGTTGTACGTTTCAACACTGGGCAGTCAAGCAAGTAGCCCACACTTGGCTTGTGCACTACTCAGCCTGTTTCCCATAAGCAAATTCCTCTGGCATTCCTCGGGAACTTTGGGCCCCGAGGGAAATTTGCGTTTCCCAAACACCGGGGATCCCCGGCAATCCTCGGGGATTTCCGGGGACCTCTAGGGGGTCCCCGGGATTCCTCGGGGCCTCGGGAGACTTTTTCGTTTGTTATCTTCTCATAAACGTGATCATTCACACCCGCAGGCAGCACACTTGACTGCGCAAATCAAGCAAGGCTGTATGGGAGTGGGCGCGGGTCAAACGGTGTTAATTCAGCAAGCTGCGTCAGCTGGCCAGTCCGAAAGCTTGCATGTGCTTCATAATACATCAATATACCCGTTGTTGACCGCAAGGCGGCCAGGTCAGCACGGCAGCCACAAAGGGTCCCCGATGGGATGGGAAACGCGTGAAACTCTTTACAAAGTGCATGCTTCCCGAAGGACTCCCGAGGGATTGATTGTAAGCCCCCGAGGGATTCTACGGGAAACAGGCTGACTACTGCAATTGAGGTGCGCTGTGCGCGCGCATGAAACTCTCTCTACGCGGTGCTGAACGCAGTAATATCTTTTGTTGGCCTGATATTGATTTATCTCTCCAGTTTTCAGCTAAATCTGTGGCATTTTACATCCTACCGCCCCGCGGGCCCAGCGGCTTTTCGGAACCGAGAGCTCACCGCGGGGCAATGCGGAAGGCAGGCGGTATGGATTCGGTAGAGGTTCGGAAAGTCGTGTTTCCCAGAGTGCCAGCCACCGACGACAGGCCCCTGATCCACCACCCGCCCAGGGCGGCCATGTGCCTGCCGCGGGAGGAGGGCAGCCTCGGGGCCCCGGATGTGCGGCTGCAGGCCACCGCGCTGCTCGCAAAGACGGCGGCGCGGCCGGTGCACCCGCAGCGCCGCGTGTGGAAGGATATCGACTGTCAGCGCTTTGACACCGAACTCCCGGTGCTCGGTGTCGGCGCCATTCCCACCACTCTTCGGCCGCGACAGGCCGCACCGGGGCTCCCACGGCGCCTCGGCGCGTACTGGGCGGCACTTCAAGCGACAAGCCCGCACCGCCTCGCCGCTCCGAGTGCCATGCTTGCCCATCAGGTTGCGCGCGAGCCCCTCGCTAAGAACGCGGCAGTGGCGCGGCCGGACGGCACCGCCTCGGCGCTGGCGTGGCGGCAGGCTGCTGCCGAGTGGAGGGGAGCGGCCCGGCTCGGCGACCTCGACTGGTCTGACTCGGCTGCGCCACCGGCCGCCGTGGCCGCTGAGTGGTCGGCAGCGCTCCCCTCCGGGGCGCGATGCCGGAGTCGGCGTGGCAAGCAAGCGCGGACGGCCGGTGGGTGCGGCACCGGGGCCAGGCGGAGACCGCGTGTACGCTGTGGACGCTGATGGTAGGCTCAGCAGGCTGCAGCAGCCATCTGCGTCCGGCGGCCAGCCACCGGGGCCGACGGCGTGGGCGGCGTGCTGTTTTTTTTTACATGTGAAGTTACACGAGAGACTGACGACACCTGCGCAGATGCGGCCGCCCGAGCCCGCCCCAGACACGGCGTCTCCGCTAGCGCGTGGTGGGACCACAATTTGACAGCCGGAGCGAGGCCCCCAGCCCCTCAAGGACTTACGAGGAAACCCCAAGGGCTGGGGGCCTCGCTCCGGCTGCCAGCTTGTGGCCCCACCACGCGCTGGCGGCGGCGCCGTGTCTGGGGCGGG